AGCTGTCTTAACCGTGGCTTGTGTACTGCAAACACGTCACTGTGTCTGTCACGCGACTCTGTTCCCCTTTCGGGCTCTGTCTTTACATTTATTTTGAAAGATGAAGCTCGCGATTATGGTAAGGGGCGTTACATTTTCAACAAGTGCTTGCTGTGTTCGGCCAATCACAGTGCACTGGGTCAGCTGGCCAATCAGAGCAGACTGCGCTTGTCGGAAGGAGGGCCTTTGTTGAAAACTAATCGTTTGAGAGAGGCGGGGCATAGAGGACCTACAATAATGTACAGTATTTGAAAAATAATGTGTTTTTTGAACATTAAAGCATGTCAACATATTCTGTTACACCAAATACACCAAATAATTATCTTTAAAAAAGCATCATATGACCCCTTTAATAAATTCCTGGGTTTGGATTTGAAGGTGCAGGTTTTTGTTCCCTGTGGTTTGGGCTTTGGTTCTGTTGTGTGGAGATTATTGATCTCATCACTACTCAATTGCTAAACATAGAAAATGTATGGATTTTGTAAATACATTACCTGCTTGTTCAGCTTGAAGTATCCCATTGAGTAAAGCAGCACATCGGTCGAGTCCCTTGTGTATTGTTGTCACCTGAATGCAATGTGACAAAAATCATTATACTGATTCTCAGTTCTGTTCAGTTTATGTATACACTACTTGTATGTGGCTTCTTTACCTGATCTTCAGAGTCTGTAGAATAAAGAGAATATGCTGGTTCAGGAGGAGAAACACATCTCCCAGCAACCCTAAACCAGACATCATTTCTGCATGTCAAATGTATGTTTCAAATATTTAAAGGCGTCTAAATTCATGCAATATAGACAGGATTTCTGTTATCCAGTTTGTTACCTTTTCTTGTGTATCTGTCCATGTCCAGAGCCTGTCAGCCTGCCTGATGAGATCACCTGCAAAACATAATTTGCTTAGTGATAAAACAAAACAACGTACAATAACTTATATAATATATAATAACAAAACATATATAATAGCTTACAACCACTAATGTTACCTTTGGTCTTGATACTCCCTGTCTTGCCATCTTTGATTAGATCTGCAAAATTCACCTACCAAGTAGCAAATATTTATCCATCATGCTCGTATAGGTCTAATAATAATTTGCCATTGCTTATTGTATTTATCACGTGAATTAACTTCAAAAAACGTAAAGACCAACTGTCAAATCAAACTGCACTAATATAAAATCTAAGGGATGAAAAGCAAAAACATACCGCTGCTGTTACAATCACCAACAAGTAGTTCAGAACCTGCCGTTGAATTTTGTAAGTTCAATAATAAAAAAATTAAATACATTAAAAAAAATAAAAACAAGTAGTTCAGTTCGGGTTCAAAACGGAAGCTGAGTGCCGTGGACCAATAGAAAAACAGTCAGCGTTAATCTGAAGATTTCATTGGTGGGTTACGGTAAACTATTTTCAAACGTTTCATCGATTGGTGTCAGATTATGTCAATCATTCGAGCACTAGCCACTCAGACTCCTCAGGCTTGGCTAACGCCCATTACGGCTTCAGACGCCAACAAAATGTTTCTATGGAGATGGAATGGCAGAATAATCAGTACTGATATTTCGCGGTTTTATAAAATAATATTCCCGCGTGTAAGTTCTAAAAGCGAGTGAGGCTACTTTTTTATTTTTTTATTTCTGCTTTGCTGCTTATACATTAATAAAACATTTCCCCATTATACATACTTGTTTTTGTTTCATAAACAATATAATTATTATATTTGAATGTTAGAGAGAGAGATGCATACACTGAGATGCATACACTGTTTTTTTTTCTTTTTATTTTCAGTATCTTTGTAGTCATTATGTTAGCATAAGTAGGCTCATGTAGTTTTCTTTTAATTCTAGTGAAATTAAAATCGGTCACCATAAGTGGTCCACCATATTTGTTAATCAGACAACATTGGCCACATGTCAGAGCAGAGTACTGAATACCCTGCGTTATACCCAGTCTTGAGAGAGAACAAAAGCTAAAAACTCTGAACGCTATTTTTGACTGGGCTGTTTATTGCCTCCTGGGTAATGGGTAGATGAGGTTTCAGTCGGTTCTCTTCCTCCTGTTATCCCATTAAATTCTCATCCAAAACACACTTTAACACTACTGATGAAATCAGACACCCTCACCATGACACATGCCTTCTTGTGATGAAAGAAATCATAGAGGCTTTCAAAAGGGAAGGTGACTAAAAAACTATTCATAAATCAATTTAAGCAGACAAAAATACTGAGTCAGGATTCATCAGGTACGTTTTATGTATTTAGTTTGATTGATCTTTTATCTAGCTTTTAACAACTATCTGTAAAATTCACTTTATATATATATATATATATATATATATATATATATAGATCCGGGTACTGAAATGGCCAGCCTGCAGTCCAGATCTTTCACCCATAGAAAACATTTGGCGCATCATAAAGAGGAAGATGCGACAAAGAAGACCTAAGACAGTTGAACAACTAGAAGCCTGTATTAGACAAGAATGGGACAACATTCCTATTCCTAAACTTGAGCAACTTGTCTCCTCAGTCCCCAGACGTTTGCAGACTGTTATAAAAAGAAGAGGGGATGCCACACCGTGGTAAACATGGCCTTGTCCCAACTTTTTTGAGATGTGTTGATGCCATGAAATTTAAAATAACTTATTTTTCCCTTAAAATGATACATTTTCTCAGTTTAAACATTTGATATGTATTCTGAATAAAATATTGAAATTTGAAACTTCCACATCATTGCATTGTTTTTATTCACCATTTGTATAGTGTCCCAACTTTTTTTGGAATCGGGTTTGTATATATATATATATATATATATATAACTTGTGTATATTGTACGATGTATCCAGGTAAGAGAGTGCCATGTCATCCTGGGTCTGTGAAACCTCTGTCAGATAGATGTTACAGGTCACAAAACATCTCAAATCGGAGTACACACAGGTGGGTCACTGTTCAGTATAAAGCCTGCATGAGCCATGGCATTTCTATATTTTTATTTAATTTGATGTAAACCATGAATTCTGCAGTATGTCTTCTATAGTTTTATTAAACATGAAGCATGGCAAGCACTTTTCTCACTAGCAGAGTGTTTCTCTGGACCACTGCTCGCTGAAGAACTTGGAACAGAAGATTTCATTCTCACAAACTTTTCCCTGCATACTCTGAAGCATATCAATTCTTCCTTATGTTTGATGACTTATAGATGCGTTTTCTGCTTTCTCAGCAGGTTAAATAAATCTACATAAAGCGACATGAAGCCGTTAATTTTGCTCCTCACAGCGCTGCTTAGCCTACTCAATGCTGTTCTCCAGCTGGGTTTTGATGGCATCCTTCTGGAGGGATGATCTTGGTGTAAGATCCATTATAAAAGACCCAGACTACGCCAAGAATCAATCTATCCCATACATGTTAATTGAATAATAACAAAATTAGACAAATAAAGTATGTCTACTAGAACACTGCATGCTTTCAATTAAATTGCTTGCACACAGAATAAAAAAAAAATCTGAGTAACTTTGTATGTCGTGTTTTTTATTTTTATTTATTTATTTTTTGTATCATTCCTTCTGAGAATCACTAAGAGGCCTCTATGACACCACATTTCCTCAAGAGGGCGGCATCATCTGCACATTTTCCTCACATCATTTCCTCAATCTTTCTAAGAAAACGTTTGTCAGTCATTGAATTTAAGTTACGTAGAAGACTGATTAATCATTTTAATATTATCTTACAAATCAGCAAGTCATACTGCAGTAATACAATCATTCAGTATGTCGGCATTTGTTTTCGCAGATGGTGAAAACCCTGTGCAAAATCTGAATCACAGGAAGACCAAATTTCCTGGTTAGTCGACAGGGCTGTTTAACTTCCAGAAACAACACAATTGTGCCCACGTTCAAGCATACTTTTAATTTCTAAATAAACATTCTCATTTGTAAGAGGGTGTGGTGATTGACAGTTGTGCTACTGGCACATATTCTCACCAAACAAAATAATATTGTTGCAACTAGACTTTTATAGTTTTTATAGACTATACTAAGAATCTGATAATAGACCCTACAAGTTCTCTGACACAATGACACAGTTCAATAATATTATGTGTGCAGTTACTACAGTGGTGGAAATGGCCAAAATTAAGTAGATTGTCTTTTTACAAACTGCTTTAAAAAATGTGTTGAAGTCAGTTTACTACTTTAATAACTTTTCAAAAAGAATAAAATGGGTGTGACTTCGATCCCCACAATGACTGTAAACTGGTTGTGTGTTTGGCGGACCCCAGATATACACTATACCCAGTGGTGGAAATGGCCAAAATTCACTGGAAGGACTCTAGCTTGGAAAGGGGGAGGGGATAATAATGGTAATTTTAGATGACCTTTCGGATGTATTTAATTATAAAACCCTCTATAATCTATAATAACATGAAACTTATTTAATATTTTCTCTAAACCTTCTTGGATATTAAAAAAGACAGGCACCTGCAATTCTGGCCAGATGCATTGTGTGTGTGTGTGTGTGTACAGGTATATATGGTAGCTAGAACGATTGTATATACCTCTATAATAGTCGTTGCATTAGCTGCATTGTTTCATCTGCAATAGCAGGAGCCCATCGTGGGAGGCAATTTGCAGTTCGCTCGGTCAGTGTAGGGGAGCGCTGCCATTATATCCACTGGGTTGTGCGATACATGGAACGGATGGAGGAATATACTACGGGTGGAGGAAGAACGGATGAACAAGGGATTTTATGAGACCTGCGTTAACATTGCATTCGCGGTTATTACGGCTCTCTCTATCGGGGTTCCCCCAGCAGTTGTCTTGCAGAGGCGGGTAGGCTTTAAACAATAGCGCCCGGAGGAGCGCTGGATACAGTATCGCTGAGCGCAGAACCTCGGGCATCATCATCATCATCCTCATCATAACCATTCACTACTACGAGCATTCACCAATGGAGACGGCCACGCGCTCTAGTGTTCTCCACACATAGATTGCAAAGATCTGTAAGTGTAAAATCCGACCATCATCATAATCATCATCCGTGGAAACATATCCTGCAATGATGAATTCTGCCGAGGCGGCTGAGGAAGGACCGAACGATCCAGATACGGAGCCGTTCTTCAAAACAGGTAGTCTTATTATATGCTTTTGTTACATTGGATGCCAATGAGTTTATTTTACTCACTATGGGTGCATCTATCCTCACATGCACTTAGAGGTTGCATTACTGAGTTAAACAGCATTAGAAGCTGTCAGATGTGTCCCATTATGTCCGAATTAGCGGGCTGGATGTGCATCACACCCTTCACATAGGCTATTGCATACACTGTAGAGCCTGCGAATGCATAAAACTGCCATATTCCTCAAAAGCCCTTGTGTGATGTTCATATGTGCTTGTGCACGTTCAACGCCCTTACATTGTATGTCTGGGTTATTGTGCACAAGAGCAAGGAATCCCCCTGTAAATAGGATGCTACCTCACCTGTCACTTTTTCCTCACACCTTCAACACATTCTCTAATTACATTACTATCACCTCTCTGGACGCGCCAGGGAGTGGCTCAGCCTTTTGTTGGTCCTGACATTGATTCATGTTTCTAAGCCTGAAGCCTGTTGATTCACACAACCAGCAGATAGTCTTAGTGCTGTACTTCTTTTACACGAGAAACAGAAAATAATATGAGAATAGGCAGCGTGGAGGGATGCAAGAATGGCATCTACTCTTCTGCATCCAGCCAAGCCCTGCTCATGTCCATCCTGACACCACCACCAGCCGTGGTTCAGGGATTTTATTCACTTTTATGTACTAGAGATTTACCAGTGCTTGAGCTATGATCCTTAAAAATGACCCACTTCTAGTTTGCCTGGTAACATAAGCCAATAATGCACATCTGTATATATGCATCTGTATATATGTAAAGCTCGGTGTGCCTCTGTGTGGGCATGCACTCATTGAGTTTTGTGAATAAATGTATATTATGTGTCATTTGCATCTATCCAGGTGAAGTGCGGATGGTGTTTGTTTGCATGTGAACATCATACACTATATTATCCATATCAGTGTCTGTACATCATGTTAGTACTTGGCTCATTTTACAATTTATTTGATTATTACAGGAACAGAGATGGCTGAACATGGTCATTTACAGGTATATGGAGAACTGTTTAGGGCTAGTTGTCACTTTTCACTCCTGCTAATATTTATCAGAGTAGGCTTATTATATTTATACATGCCTTAAAGTCTTGCTTTTGAGCATTTCCATCATTGTTGCACAGGTAAAAAAGATACAGTTATTTTACTGATCCACATTTGTGACAACATGCCCCAGTAGCGGGTCAAATTATATGAGCAAAGTTGTCACACTGAGAATCTGCCTTTATAACATATTATAGGCTTTTTTTCAGCACATTTAAACTGTAAAAAAAAAATTCAAGTTTAATGCAAAAACAAAAATTAAATATGTAACACAAAAATAACCAAAATATCACTATTGTTTTGTTCAACAGACACTGTAAGAGATAAATTGTATACAATTACAGCACTTGAAACACTTTACTGAAAATGCCTATGTTGTAAAAAGAACACATTGTAACCGTTTTAATGTTGTTGTTGTTTTTACCTTCATTACCTGCACATATTCATGTGGGTGACTATTGCATTAATGTATGTCACTGTGGTTTATTGTGTTCACTTTTTATCTATCTGCTATAGATCATATTATATTGGAATTTTAGACAAGAAAACAGAATTTACAAAAAAAAATGTTCACTGCAGACAGGCCTCTCTCATCTTTTTAAGTGGGAGAACTTGCACAATTGGTGGCTGACTAAATACTTTTTTGCCCCACTGTATATATATATATATATATATATTCTTCTAATTTCTGTTAGTAATGTATTAATGGTGTAAATGTACAATTAGTCATGTACATTAGTGGTTTTTGTGTTACATTTTCTGTTATTTATTTCTTTAGTTTTTTATGAACTGAATGGTGGTTATTAGTAAATTTTCAGGTAAAATGCTGATTTTGGTACATTAATTACATTGTAAATTAATATGTATATATCACTTCATAAATTAAATGGTTTATTAAGTGACTTAGAAGTTGTAAAATATACAAGCATCAATATGGCCAGTGGAGTATAAAGTACCTGAAAGCCATACTCAAGTAAAAATCTTACCAGAAAATGACTTTGGTAGAAGTTGAAGTCACCATTTAGAATATTACTTGAGTAAAAGTCTTAAAGTATGTGATATTTATTGTACTTAAGTACGAAAAGTATTTTTTAAATCTTAAACATACTTAAGTATTGAACGTAAAAGTACAAGTAAATGCAAAATGGAAAAGAAGCAAATAAATATATATAAAAAAAAATTCATACACGGCTTGAGTAGCAAAATTGTGTTCAGTTTTAACTCTTTCTTCCATTTTGTATTTTTGGGTAAGAATAAGAACACTTCATCCGGTACTTAGTGTCTTTCATTCCAGCGTAATAAATCGCTTAAATAGCATTTAGATGTATTTACACAGTTTATGTATCTCAAAGGGGACATGGATGCATTTCACCTGCAGTTACAGATGGATATGTTTTTAACATAAAACGTTGAATACCGATATTTGAAATAATTTAAAACACGAACAAAATAGTCGAAATGTGAAATTAAAACCGCCAGTAGGTGGCAGCAAATGACTGTTAATGAGTGAGTCATTGAGATTCAACCGATTCATTCAATCAACTGATTCATTCAGGAACAAAACATTTGACTGTGTTAATGAGTGAATCACTGAATCATTTTTATCAACCGATTTGTTCAAAAAGCTGATTCATTCAATAAGTAAACACCGTCCATTGCTCAGAGATGCAAAACAGTGCTGTGATCTTTGTTTGGAACTATTTTCGTTGGCAAAATTGAGCAAAAACAAACAATATTATGTCTAAAATGTAAGTCACTTATTGCTTTACTGAACTTGTATAAAATGATTATTAAATGTGTTCATGCTGATATTTGCAGAAAAACGGTAGGCTACTCTTTGTGTGATATAGATTAAGTTAACTATATTAAATTATATAAACATAAAAAAGCATACAGAAGCATTTTTGCCATCTACAATTTAGAATGCCTTGAATTTTGAGTTTTAATAGACTAATAAATCACGTGCGTGCACTCTCTGTGATATACTTGATAATGTCAGATCGCACATCATTACAACACTTACCATATTAGCAGACAATACTGTATCGCACGCCCCAGACTCGACTTGAGTGGAAAATGAATCATCCGCGGTTGTGCGATCAGCCGCGCACTTTTTTGCACATGAGCAAAGGTGTTTTTAGGAGTCTTAAGGCAAGGCAAACCTGCTTCCCTGCAGTCCGTGTTCTTCTGACTTCTGACTATTTTGTAGTAAGTAACGAATATGCTTCGGGGAAATGTATCGGAGTAAAAGTATACATTTTAATTAGGAAATGTAGTGGAGTAAATGTAAAAGTTGGCTGAAATATAAAAACTCAACTCCCAAAAAATACTTAAGTACTGTAAAGAAGTATTATTACTTTGTTACAATACACCACTGAATATGACATGGCAAAATATGCAAAACGTTGTCACCATATTGTTTATGATGAATTTCTGGCAACTAAAAATTCTGAATTTAATTTTTTTTTAGCTGTAAATTTAAAGGTATTTTTTACAGTGTATATTTTTTTCAAAGAAAATATGAGTGGTGCTTGCCTGTGCAAAATGATCCCATGATGCTGAGGTGTTTGGGTTCATTGTAATGTGGTGGTTAGGGCATTGCTAGGGCATTCTGGGTTGTTGCTAGAAGGTTGCTTACTGGGCTCAGTCAAAAGTGTCCATCCCCAGTTGCCTATTATATTTGGGTCTATAGATATGGCTCAGGTTCCTCGTTCAGTTGAAATCTTTGGGATTATTTTGGCTGTTTTGTTGTCTGCTAAGTGAAAATTGTATGTCTGTAATGTCCACTAATAATTACATGCCTATATGTTGCTGAATAAGTGACCTTAGTAAATGAGTAATTGGAAAAATGTTCAGAGTTCTGTCTTTTTGGAGTGAAAATCCAGGATGTTTTGCTTGTATCTGTGTTCTATGGAGACAAATTGTCAAGGTTGTGGCCAGTCAACCAGAAAAAAACTTGTGAACTTGTTATGCAGCTTCCTTTGCATGTGTCATCACACATTGAACTAGAAAGTGTGTCTCACGAGTGCTATGGTACACAATTATGAAAATGAGTGGAGATAAGGTTTAATCCTCGGGAAATCTGTTGGAACTTGATAATGACATGACCTTAGGGGTCATATCACATTGTTTTGATTTGTGAAGTTCACCTTCCAAACATAAAAAGAAACTGAAAAACTGTGCAGGAAAATGAACAGCATAGTAACGTGTTATTAGTTACTTGAGTAATAAGATAGGAGGCACATAAGTAGCAAAAGAACTTGCTGCATACTGAACATATTTTACTAAGCACTGATACCGAAAAGTGTTATCTTCAGCCAATTAGACCACAAAGCAAAACCGCTACCTGTGTTATTATGATTTACTGTAATCCCTGAGCATATGGATTTTACAAGATGCAAGAGTTACTCTCTACACCCTGTTCCACACAGAAGATGACTGTGCTTAAAATTTGAAATATGGTCTTCAGAGAGGCAAACCTAGCACAACACAGGTTTGTGGCCAGACAATGAGGGCCAGAGGGGTTGCTGTAGCAACGGTTGCCAAGATTCCTGCTCAGGACTGGAGTTCTCTGAGCAGAATAGGTACATTCAGTGAAATCAATTTTGGAAGTATTTTTGGATTATATCCATTAGGGGCAACTCAGTTGCCACTTTTTCATTACAATACTTTTACTTCCTATAATTTGTCAGCAATGCAATGTTTTCTACAGAAAAGCTTTATGGGGCTTTAATGTGACTTGTTTCAATAAATGTAAGATTAAAGGAATAGTTCACCCAAAAATTCAACTACTGTCATCCATTTACATTGTGTGCGCATCACATACTAGAACAAACCTCACTGGTTCTCTCGCATCACACACAAAAGCTTCAGCTTCCATGTTCACCATATGTGATGTGCTCTATGTATGTGTGTCGATCATTGTTTAGATGTA